CTGCCTGCCGCACACTGCTCCCAGTCTGCTTCACAGCGATACTGCCTTCCGCACACTGCTCCCAGTCTGCTTCACAGCGATACTGCCTTCTGTACACTGCTCCCAGTCTGCTTCACGCTGCTGCTGCTGCCTGCTGCACACTGCTCCCAGTCTGCTCCACAGCGATACTGCCTGCTGCACACTGCTCCCAGTCTGCTTCACACTGCTGCTGCCTGCTGCACACTGCTCCCAGTCTGCTTCACAGTGATACTGCCTGCTGCACACTGCTCCCGGTCTGCTTCAAAGCGATACTGCCTGCTGCACACTGCTCCCAGTCTGCCTCACAGTGATACTGCCTTCTGCACACTGCTCCCAGTCTGCTTCACACTGCTGCTGCCTGCTGCACACTGCTCCCAGTCTGCTTCACACCGATACTGCCTGCTGCACACTGCTCCCGGTCTGCTTCACAGCGATACTGCCTTCTGCACACTGCTCCCAGTCTGCTTCACAGCGATACTGCCTGTTGCACACTGCTCCCAGTCTGCTTCACAGCGATACTGCCTTCTGCACACTGCTCCCATTCTGCTTCACAATGAAGCTACCTGCTGCACACTACTCTCAGTGGCGACACAAGTGGATAAGTTGAACCAGAAGGTGCATGTCATGATTTGTTCATCGGTTAGGGCATAGAGTATGAGAATTAACAGGTCATGTTACAGCTGTAGAGGCCGTATTACAGAAGTCAGTCCACATTTGGTATATTGTGTACAGTTGTGGTTATCACACTACCAGAAAGTGGACAGAAAAGGTATACCAGGATGTTGCCTGGCTTGGAGGGTATTTGCTATGACAAGAGATTGGACAACTTGGTTTGTTTTTACATGAATGTTGGACGCCGAGAGGCAACCTCATAGAGGTCTACAAAATTATGAGAGTCATGGATAGAATAGATAGTCCGAGTCTTTTTCCCAGGGTAGAAATGTCAATTACTGTGGGTCATATGTTTAATGTAAAAAGGGGAAAGTTTAAAGGGGATGTGAGAGGCAAGTAGGATTGGTAAGTGTGCCAGGTATGCACAGCCAGAGGAGGTAGTAGAAGCAGATACAATAGCAATGTTTAAGAGGCATCTTGGCAAATACATTAATAGGCAGGGAACAGAGGGATACAGACTGTATAAAGGCAAAAGGTTTTTAGTTCAGAAAGACATCATGTGTCAACGCAGGCTTGATGGGCTAAAGTGTCTATTCCTGTGCTGTACTGTTCTTTGAACTGCCTCCAATGCATTTACCTTCTTCCTTAAATAAGGAAACCAAAATTGCACACAGTAATTCAAGCTGTGGTCTCACTAGTATCCTGCATGACTGCTGCACAACATCCTACTTTTCAGTTGAATTCTTCTCGCAGAAGAGGATAGCATTCCCTTAGCTTTCTTGATTACACTCTGTAACTTGTAAAGGCCAATTTATACTTGGACTGTGGGCTGAATATATGAAAAGATATTCATTTAAAACAAGGAAACTGCATAAGATGATGTTTGCAGTTTTAAAAAACAAGTTACCCAAGCACACTGTAAGTTATATCCATGATGTGGGTGTGCCGGTGTCACTTCACTTGATGAAAGGGCAGCGCTTCAAAGGCTTGTGATTGCTAATAAACCTGTTGGACTATAACCTGGTGTTGTGTGACTTCTGACTTTGTAAGTTATATCGACAATGTTGCCTTATTCAAGCAGTGTGAGAGCATTCCAAACAGAATGGCCCCATCTGTGTGTTTATGACAAATTTGGCCAGCAATAAAAACTTTTGATTAGCTTTTCAATTCGGACCAGCAATTGTGGGTGGACTCAGCACTCTGACAACCACCATATTAGCTCCTGGGCCGGTGGTTACAACTTTAGGTATGGATAATTCAGCAGAAGCATCCAGCCTACGAAGAGTAAGCATCGTCTCTCTCTCTCTCTGTTCTGGTGGAGAGTGAAAAATAATCACTGTTCAATAGTTACCACCCCTGCATATTGTTCTGTCTGAAAACAGGATAGGCCATATTTAGAGTCACTGAAAGGATGCATCCTCAGCCAGTGAATAAAAGACTGAGAATTGGTACTTCCATAGCTTTGCACCATTAACAAAGAATTGGGAGGTACTGTTGGAAAGCCGATAGAAAACCATTCATCAATGTCTGGAATTTTGCCAGAAATATGCTTCTGTATGTTAATATCTTCCCAACAATAATAAATGTCTTGCCTTGTATGGGAATATTAAGGAGGGGGTAGTGTTTAAGTTGCAGAATTATAGACCAGGATTATGGATAAAGGGCAACCAGTAGATGTGTTGCATTTGGACTTCCAGAAGGTGTTCAACAAGTTCCTCACGAAAGGTTAAGTCAAAGATAAGAGCTCATCGTGTTGAAAGTAGTGGATAGAAAATTGGCTAAGGGGCAGGAAACAGTGAGAGGGGATAAGGGATTCTTTATCAGGTTGGCAACTTGTAACTAGTGAGGCTCCACACAGATCAGTGCTGGGATCACAACTATTTAAAATACACTCTAATGACTTGGAGGAAGGAAGTGAATGTACTGTAGTCAAATTTGAAGATGACACAAAAATTTGTGTGAAGGCAAATTATGAAAGAGATACAGTTTACAGAAGTTAAGTAAATGGGCAAAAAATTGGCTAATGGACTATAAGGTGAGAAAATGTGAAGTTGTCATTTGGAAGGGAGAACAAAAGAACAGAGTAATAATTAAGTGGGGAAAAACTGCAGAAAGCTGCACCACAAGTGGACTTAGGGGAACTTGTGCATGGAACACAGAAAACTAGCACAGTGGTGTAGCAGGTAATCAGGAAGGCTAATGGAATGCAGGGCCCTTATTTCAAGGGAATTGAATTCTATAGAGCTCTTTGCTTTGTTTTCTGTTATCTTTGTAGCATCTAGTCTTGACTGCTTGTTTATTGTTAAGTTTTTTCCCTGTGTCCCTTTCTGCCAGTCTCTGATCTTCATTTTCCATATTGATGTTTTACTTTCTTGCTTCAACTCCTTTCCTTGATTTGTTGCACTTACCCAAGCTTGATCCCTCAGACCTGTTTGTTTAGTACTTCTACCTGTGGCAGATTTTACAACAGGGATCACCAATTTTCCCCGCTCTTTCTTTCTTTACAGAAATTGTTTCAGCTTATTTATAAAAGTACACTTTCCCATAAGTCTCATCAAGCCTTATTGACTATTGAGAGCATGTTTGAACTATGTGTTAAAGTCGTTACCTTTAAAATTGGTTTCCAATTAAGAGCAGAAGAGCTAATGTAGACCATCCCCATTCTGGACACTGTGGCTGGAGATGCATTCTCAATGTTGTGTACTTCAAACAGCAGTTTGCAGGAAGGAGCCATGGGAATACGGTCACCATTAGCCAAAGTTAAAGTCTTGTTGTCGTCGAGTACAGAATTTAAATTTTCTATCCAGATAGCATCCACTGGACCATCCAGGATTATCCAGATATTCTCACCTACAGAACAAGTAATGCAACACAATACACAAAGATATTAACAAGCATCAGGTTTGGCCTGATGTTATTGATTTGCACCACAAATCATTGATTAAGGGTGAGCTATCTGTGGGGTATTTATCTGATGTGTGTTTGTGGGTTATTTGTAGGGATCACATTTAAGCTCTGGGGTTGCAGCACAGCACTGAGCACAGGCTCTGTCCAGTCTTGCCACCATGACAGATCAAGGACAGGGGACATACAGCCAGGACACAGCAAGGCTGCTGAGAGAGGCAGCTTGGACAGAGTGAGGTGGGAGGGAAAGGCTGCTGGGACATGGTGAGGCCAGCGGGAGAGGCTGCTGGGACACAGTGAGGCCAGCGGGAGAGGCTGCTGGGACAGAGTGAGGCTGGCGGGAGAAGCTGCCGGGACAGAGGAGGCTGGTGGGAGAAGCTGCTGGGACAGAGTGAGGCCGGCGGGAGAGGCTGCCGGGACAGAGGAGGCTCGCGGGGACGCTGCTGGGACAGAGTGAGACCGGTGGGAGAGGCTGCTGGGACAGAGTGAGTCAAAAGTACCTTTTTTTGACTTGATAGATTTCCTCCAAAGTGTTGAGAAGATCCCATCAGTCCAGTCATTAGTTGCAGGATCCAGTCGTCCAAACATCTGTGGAGCAGTGATAGCCTTAGGATTCATGCGCATTTCCCGATGAGGAGCTCCACATTCAGTCAGTGAATGCATAAGAGTACGAATTACACAAGTCTTCCCAGAGCCACTAGGACCCAATGTCATCAGCCCATGACGAACCCTGGCTGTTTCGTATAGCTGCATGGATATAAAAGAAAATAAAATGGTAAAAAACCATTGTGGAAAGACTGGAGGAAAGTGCATTTCATTCTGAGAAGGCCTTTGAGAGGTAACCTGATACAAATATTTAAGATAGTTTTGGTAATGGAATGATTCAATTCAGAATTTTTCCTTAAACAGAATTAAGCTAAGATTAGCATTGCTATCAGGACAATGATCAACGTTTGGAATCGACATTTTAAAATAGGTGATAAATATACAAATTATTTAAGAATAAATTAAATGATACAGTGGAGACTTTAGGATTTAATAGCAGTTAAATGACCTCCTAATAAATTCTTTATTAAACTTGAAGACAGGGGAATGGAAACAGAAACTCCTGCAAATGCTGGAAGCTAGAGTCAAAAAATGTGGAACTTCTTTTACTGCTGAGGTATGACTTATCCAAAGTGATTGTTGCATCAAATAAAAGGTATGGTGTCTCTAAAGCAGCTTCTTTCAAAATTTATTCATAGAATGTGGGCATTGCTGGCTGGGCCAACATTTATTACCCATCCCTAACTGCCCTTAAGAAGGTGTTGAGAACTGCCTTCTTGAACCATTGAAGTGCATTTGGTCACCTACAATGCCATTAGGAGGGGAGTTCCAAGAATTTTACCCAGCAACATTGAAGGAACAGCAATATGTTTCCGGGTCTGGTTATTGAGTGGCTTGGAAGGGGACTTGCAGGTGGTGTTGTTTCCATGTATCTGCTGCTCTTATCCTTCTAAATGGCAGTAGTCTTGCTTTGTCCTGGATGGTGTCAAACTTCTTGAGTGTTGTTGGACCTGCACCCATCCAGGCAAATGGGGAGTATTCCATCACACTCCTGGCTTATGCCATGTAGATGGTGGAGAGACCTTGGGAGTCAGGACATGGCTTACTCCCTGCAAGGTTCCTAGCATCTGACCTGCTCTGGTAGCCACACTATTGTATGGCTGGTCCAGTTCAGTTTCTGGTTCATGGTAATCCCCAGGATGCTGATTAGTGGGGTCATTCAAAAATGGTAATGCCATTGAAGAGTTTCTTATTGGAAATGGTCTTTGCCTGGCATTTATGTGACAGAAATGTTACTTGCCGTATGTTAGTTCAGTCCAACCTGAATATTGCCTAAAGCTGCTGCATTTTGGCATGGACTGTTTCAGTATCTGATGGTGAACATTGTGCAAGTATCAGTGAATATGCTCATCTCTGAATTTATGATTGAGGGCAGGTCACTGATGAAACAACTGAAGATAGTTGGGCCTTGGACTCTACCCTGAAGGACGCCTGCAGAGATGTCCTGGAGCCAAGATGACTGACCTCGAACCACCACAACCATCTTCATATGTACCAGATTTGGCTCCAAACAGCAGAACCTTTCCCCTGATTCCCATTGATTCCAGTTATACTAAGGTTCCTTGGTGATGCTCTCGGTTGAATCCTCTCTTGATGTCAAGGCTGTCACTCTCACCTCACTCCTGGAATTTATCTCTTCTGTCCATGTTTGAAACACGGCTGAAATGAGGTCAAGATCTGAATGGCCCTCACGGAACCCAAACTGAGTAAGTCAGTGAGCAAGCTGTTGCTAAGCTGGTGCTGCTTGATAGCACTGTTGTCAATAACGTACATAACTTTACTGATGAGTCATAGAGTCTTACAGCAAAGAAACAGATACTTCTGTCCAACTCATCCACGCTGACCAAGTCTCCCAAATTAATCTAGTCCCACTTGTCTGTGTTTGGCCCATATCCCTATAAACCTTTCCTATTCATGAGAGACACTGGTAATTGGTGGGGTTGAATTTGTCCTGCTGTTTGTGTACAGGACATACCTGGGCAATCTTCCACATTTTCGGGTAGATGCCAGTGTTGTAACTATACTGGAACAGTTTGGCTAGGTGTGTGGCAAGTTCTGGAGCACAAGTCTTCAGCACTATTGCCAAAATGTTGTCAAGTTCCATAGTCTTCATTGTATCTACTGCCTTCAGCTGTTTCTTGATACTATGTGGAATGAACAAAATTGGCTGCAGACTGGGTTTCTGTGATTCTGGGGACATCTGGAGGCCTATATTTCCCTTCATAGTCTTGAGTGTCTTGTTCGATGCAAGGTGGTCAGTCAGGATGCATTTCCTTTTTTGAGACTTTCTGTGGACTGAACCCATTTAAGAATCAACTGCATTGTGTGGGTTTGGAGTCACATGTAGGCCAGACACAGGTAAGGTCAGTAGTTTCCTTCCTTAAAGGGCAATCGTGTACTAGATGGCTGTTTACAACAATCAACAATTGATCATCATTAGACTCTTAATTGCAGACTTCTGTACAAATTTACTATCTGCAATGGTGGGATTCAGATCCAGACCCCTAGAACATTACCTGAATCAGAAGATTAATTGTTTCTTGATTTTATACGACTACACCATCACCTCACCTATTGAAACAATATTAAAGATAAATGCCATGTACTGTAAGTGAATGTTTTAATAACTCAGTACATTTACCTGAACCAGTTTGAGATTCCAGGGTGGGTGATTAACTAATCCTGCTATTTCCACCTGATTGGCTACAGCAGCCTGCAGTTCCACGTAGGTGCTACTATCTAACTGTATACCCGGGAACAGATCACTGATCAGGCTGAGGAAAAGGGGCTCATCTTCATCCACCTGTTAATGAAATTCAAATTCATTATAATTTGTCTATTCTCACTGCAAAACATTTGGTTCGAGAAACCCTGGTGGCTCTGTTGGCTCCATCAGAATGACAGCACAAAAGGACTTTCACCTAGCAATTTGTTAAGTTACTGACTGATAAAGTGACCTCATTTGAATTATCAGAAGATGTGAAATCTGGCAGAACAACTATATCCAAACAATGATATCAGGCCAAATATACCCAATTTTCTCCAATTGTCCATATGTCCCACTGACAGAACTTTAGAGAGTTATGGGCAAGAATGAAAATGAACTGAAACTCTAGCAGGAGTGTAATTTCTTTCATCCCTGAATCTGTGAACAAGTTGAGATGTTGCATGATTTGCGTAGGCTTTCTGCAGATTATGAAGTTAGTTATTTGTAGGCTTGTTTCTAGGATTTGGTTTTCTGTAGCAATGAACTTGAAAAGGAAGAGGCTTTGAGAACTTATGATGTTGCACTCTCCAGGTTTAAGGTCAGAAATGTTATCATCTGTTATGCAGTTGCTGTGTCTCTACGCAGATGGCACTTAAAAATTAAGAGGTGACCAGCATGCCTGCCATACCATTTGGATTCTCAAAATCACCTTTGCCAAAACAATATTATGCTTCAGTGAATTAGCCATTACTGTTTGTAGACATTAAACTTGTGGTTTGAAACAAGTATCATGTCAGCTTCAAAATAACCTTTTTAGGTCAGAAAATACCTTTTGGAATGTGCCTTTTCACCTTTTCAGGAAATTGTGGGCAATTGAATTTGCAGACCTGGTTGAATAATTCATTTGCAACATTTCAATGTCCATTTTTAAAAGAAAAATGATTTTCAGAATGCTCCAAATGGAACACAGTTCCTGTGTTAAAAGTGAAGTGTAGACATGACTTTACTGGGCACTCAGGCCTCTGCAATATGGGAAAAAAAAATGGAATCTTGGTTGCATTCATCTTACTTTGTTTTTATCATGTCTGCAAGACATGGAGAGAAATCATAAACTGTCTTGATTGTTTATCTGTGATTCTGTTAAAAAGCTATATAGAGTCATAGAGGTTTACAAAGTGACAACAGGCCCTTTGGCCCAAATTTGTCGATGCATATATTTTTAAATGTAAACTTCAACATGAACTGTACTGAACTAAAACGGAGGCTATCATTGTTCCAATGATTCAATGGACCACAATTGGAAGGATTCCAATCAACAGCAATCAGGACAGAAAGAGCAATATCCCTGAGAATGCCATAACTTTGCATTGTAGGGATATTGCAGTCAAACTAACAGAAAAGAATGTGAGGCAGTGGGATGGTGAAAGGTGAGTGCAGGTAGGCAGTGGTGGGAATTGGTCAGTGAGGTGGGAGGAGCGGATAGGTGGGCATCTTCTGGCTTTACAATCAAGCCTACCCCAACTCAGAGCCTCCCTCTCCCAGACCTACAAAGGACCTCTTCTGTTTTTCATTCTTCGCAGGACCCACGACCTCAATCAACGATTTTACTCCATCCTATCTGACATCAAAAACCGTAAGGGCACTAAACTTACTGGTGCCTGCAACCAAACACAGGCCTCTTCCAACCCCCAAGTCCTCAACCCTACCGAGGACCTCCCACACAATGTGGCTGGCGCCAGTGACCATGTGGTTACCGTCGCCTCACCGGCTGACGCCACTGATCTCGTCACATCCACCGACACTGGTCATGTCACTTCCGATGCCACAAACCATGGCTCCGGTGCTGCCACTCACACTGCGGACGCCGCCACTTCCATCGCCGACGCTGCTCCCGCTGCCAACATCAAGGACGATTAAACCCCGCCCACTGCAGCGTTGCTGGTGATGTCACTAACTCCACCCCCACACCCAGCTCCAACCCAGCCACCAGCTCTGCACCCAGTCCCAGCCTCAAGCCCAGACTCCATCTCCCCAGACATCCTCCTCACTGAGGATGAGCGGTCAGTCCGCAGTAAGGGACTCACCTTCATCGCTCTCCACCCACACATCAATGAATACTGCTCACGCTTGGACATCAAACACTTTTTCTGCCACCTCCGCCTCCGCACCTGTTTCTTTAACTGCAAAGCTAACCCACCCTCTACAGACCCCTTCTCCCACCTCCAACACAGCCCATCCTCCTGGACACCACACCAAGGCCTCCTACCCTCCCTCAACCTCTTCATTTACAACTGTCGTTGCATCATCGCAACCTCTCTACCCCCTCACTCACTCTAACTCTCCCCCAAAGAACGTGCAGCCCTCCATTCCCTCCGCTCCAACCCCGACATCACCATCAAACCCGCAGATATAGGAGGCGCAGTAGTAGTATGGTGCATGGACCTTTACATAGCCGAGGCCAGGCGCCAATTCTCTGACACCTCCCCTTATCACCCTCTCGATCATGACCTCACCCCTGACCACCAAACCATCGTCTCTCAGATCATCCATAACCTCATTACCTCAGGTGACCTCCCATCCACAGCCTCCAACCTCATCGTTCCCCAACACTGCACCGCCCATTTCTATCTCCTTCCCAAAATCTCCAAACCTGACTGTCCTGGCCGACCCATTGTCTCTGCCTGCTCCTGCCCCAGTGAACTTATCTCCGCTTACCTTGACTCTGTTTTCTCCCCCCGGTCCAAGAACTCCCCACTTACATCCGGGACACCACCCTTGCCCTCCACCTCCTCCAAGACTGCCAATTCCCTGGCCCCAAACACTTCATCTTCAGTATGGACGTCCAATCCCTATACACTTGCATTCCTCACATGGATGGCCTAAAAGCCCTCTGCTTCTCCCTCTCCCGCAGGCCCAACCAGTCCCCCTCCACCGACACCCTCATCCGCTTAACCGAACTCATCCTTACCCTTAACAACTTCTCCTTCAACTCCTCCCATTTCCTACAGATTAAGGGGGTGGCCATGGGAACCTGCATGGGCCCAAACTATGCCTGCCTTTTTGTAGAACACGTGGAATAGTCCCTCTTCTGCAGCTACACCGGCACTATCCCCCATCTCTTCCTCCGCTACATTGATGACTGTATCAGCGCTGCCTCATGCTCCCATGAGGAGCTTGACCAGTTCATCAACTTTACTAATACCTTTCACCCCAACCTCAAGTTCACCTGGATCATATCGGATACCTCTCTCTCCTTCCTAGACCTCTCTGTCTCCATCTCTGGTGACCGCCTCAAAACCGACATCTATCGCAAGCCCACTGACTCCCACAGCTACCTAGACTACACCTCCTCTCACCCACTTTCCTGCAAGAATGCGATCCCCTACTCCCAATTCCTCCAAGTCTGCTCCCAAGATGGGGCGTTCCACTCGCGAACATCCCAGATGTCCTCTTTTTTTCAAGGACTGCAACTTCCCTCCTTCAGTGGTCGAAAATGCTCTCGATTGCATCTCTTGTGTTTCCCGCACCTCTGCCCTCACATCCCCTGCCTGCAACAAAAAAAAGACAGAATACCCCCTTGTCCTCACATATCACCCCACTAATCTCTGTATTCAACATATCATTCTCTGCCACTTCTGCCACCTGCAATCCGACCCCACAATCAAAGATATATTTCCCTCCCCACTCCGAGCTGCCTTTCATAGGGATCACTCTCTCCACAACTCCCTCATCCGCTCCACACTCTCCCCTAGTCCTATCACCCCCGGGACCTTTCCCTGCAACCGCAGGAAGTGCTACACCTGCCCTACATCTCCCCCCTCACCTCCATCCCAGGTACCAAACAAACCTTCCACATTAGACAGAGGTTCACCTGTATATCTGTCAATGTGGTCTATTGCATCCGCTGCTCCCTATGTGGCCTCCTCTACATTGGTGAGACCAAGCGGAGGCTCGGAGACTGCTTTGTAGAGTCCCTGCGCTCTGTTCATGACAAATGACAACACCTTCCGGTTGCGAACCACTTCAACTCCTCCTCCCATTCCCTGGGCGACACGTCCATCCTGGGCCTTCTCCAGTGTCACACTGATGCCTCCCGCAAACTGGAGGAGCAACATCTCATATTCCGCCTTGGGAGCCTACAACCCAATGGTCTAAATGTGGACTTTACCAGTTTCAAAATCTCCCCACCCTGGGCCTCATCCCATGACCAACCCTCTCTCTCACCCCGTCTCCTTGACCTGACACAACCCGCCCATCTTCTGTCCCACCTATCCGCTCCTCCCACCTCACTGGCCAATCCCCACCACTTGCTACCTGCACTCACCTGTCACCATCCCACATACCTTCTCTAGCTCCATTCTTCCTCTCTCTATTTATTTCGGAGCTCCCTTCCCCCTCCCCCATTCCTGAAGAAGGGTCCCGACCCGAAACATCAACTTCCCTGTTCCTCATGCTGCCTGGCCTGCTGTGCTCCTCCAGCTCCACACTGTGTTAACTCTGACTCCAGCATCAGCAGTTTTTACTATCTCTGATAAAAGAATGTGAGACATTATTTGGATAGTGGCAGTCTTTAAAAAGTAGAAAAGTAAAGATTCAGGGCCAGCATGTTCCTTAAAGAATGAAGGGCAAGGACAGCAAGTCCAGGGAACCCTGGATGTCAAGGGATATTGAGAGTTTGATCAAGAAAAACAAGGAAGTCATGTTAAAAACAGGGGAGGCCATTTAGAATTGTAGAGCTGGGGGGGTGCTTTAAAAATAAATTAGAAGGGCAAAGATGGGCCATGAAATATCTTTGGCAGACAGGTTTAAGGAAAAACTGAAGGCATTTTATAAGTATATTCAGAGCAAGAGAATTACCTGGGAAAGAGTGGGACCTATTAGAGACCAAAGCAGCAGTCTACACATGGAGCTACAGGACGTAGGCGAGGTCTTAAATGAATATTTGTCACCTGTGTTCACAAAGGAGAAAGACATTGTAGCTGGAGCTGGGGGTGTCAATTGGGATGGTGAAGTTCTCGAACATGTTAAGGCTAATAAGGAGGAGATTTAGATGCTTTAGCAGGCATAATGGTGCATATGTCCCCGGGCCTGATTAAAATTATCCCAGGCTGTTATGGGAGGCATGGGGGGAGATTGCTGGGGCTGTGGTGGAGATAGTTAATATTTTATTGGTCAAAGGTGAGGTGCAAGATGACTAGAAGATAGTTAGTGTGGTTCCTTTATTTGGGAAGGGCAGCAGGGACAGGCCAGGTAATTACAGACTAGTTAGTCTAAAGACAGTCATTGGAAAATTATTGGAAGAAAACTGCTGAGGGAATGAATAAATTAATACTGGGAAAGGTAGGGATTGATCAGGGATAGTCAGCATGGATTTGCTGGAAAGCTGGTCCAAAACTTAACTTACAAATAGGAGGGAAAAGCTGATGGTGGACAGATGTTTCTGTGCTTGGAAGCATGTGACCAGCAGTGTATTGAAGATGTTGGTGTTAGGACCCTTGCTGTTTGTTATGTACATTAAGGACATGGATGTGAATGTGGAAGGTAAAATTAGTAAGTTTGCAGATGGCACATAAATTGGAGGTATTGTTGATAGTGTAGAGAATGATCTCTACTAACTGGTCTCAGTTGGTAAACTGAGCAAAGCAATGGCAGATGGAATTTAATCCTGATAAGTGCAAGGAGATGCATTTTGGGAGGTTGCATAAAAGAAGAACGTACACAAAGAATGGTAAGTCCCTCCTGAGAACTAAGGAACAAAGGGACCTTGGTGTACAAGAAGAACAGCACCTCATTTTCTGCCTGCGGACCCTGCAGCCTTGTGGACTCAATATTGAGTTTGCTAACTTTTAGGGCCTGAGCTCTCCCATGTCCTTACCCCAAACCCCACAACCAGCCCTTGGTATCACATAGTCTGCTATTACTCACCATCCATTGTTAGTCACTAACAGTCCCTATTAACAGTTATTCACCCTCCTAGCCAGATCGTTATCCATTCCTTTGTCTGTCCAACTGCTCTTCTCTCTCTTTGGGCTCTATCCCCATCAATCGTTTACTCTTACCCCTCCCCCCACCATTTCTTCTACATATAAGCTGACATTTTCCGAGCGACCATCAGTTCTGAGGAAGGATCACTCGACCCGAAACCTTAACTTTGATTTATCTTCACTGATGCTGCCAAACCTGCTGAGCTTTTCCAGCAATTTCTATTTTTGTCTCTCATTTACAGCATCTGCTATTCTTTTGGTTTTTATGGTCTTACGGTTTTAAGCAGCTGCTGATGGCTGTGATCAGAACATTATCCTAAGGAATTACTCCAAAGATGTCCTGGGCCTGAAGTGATTGATCTCCAATAATCACAATATCTTCCTCTGTGCTGAGTTGTTTCTTCACATGATCGATACCTTACGTTTTATATGCCCGGTGCTGTCCCTGTGATGCCTCCCTGCACTCTTCATTGAACCATGGCTGATCCCTTGGCTTGGTGATAATGGGATTTGGTAGGCCATAAGGTTATAGATTACGGTTGAATATGATTCTGTTGCTGCTGATGGCCTACAGTGCGTCACGGATGCTAAAACTTGAGCTCTACATCTGTATGAAATCTTTCCTATTTAGCACCGTAGTATTGCCGTAATGTACAATTTCCTCAATATGAAAGTCGGCATTATCTCCTCAAGGATTATGTACTGGCTACTTCTATCAATACTGTCACTGACGCACAAATGGGAGATCATTTAAGGAAAGAACAGATTTGCTTATGGTCATTTTGGGACTCATTGTATGAAAGGAGAACGTATACTTATACCATGATTGATCTACATGAAGGTTTTAAAGTTAGCCTGGTTTTGATGTTTAAGCTTGAGCAAGGTGGAAGCTCTGAAGTCTAAAATACCCTGTAGGCTGACCTGCAAATTGTATCTTTGTCTTTCTGTGACTTGGCTGTTTCAACTGAGGCAGGTCATTCTTCTAAAGTAGAAAGGTAAAAAAGGGGAATCTTCAACCATAATATTAAAAAATCTAAAGGCAGATTTCTAATGATGATAATTTTCCCCATCAAATGAATTAGGTCACATAGTCTGCTGCAACATTCAGTCTGGCCTGTCCTCTGCACTATTTATTGGCTGAATATCAGACAGTGTCAACATTTAAAACATATTAAAGAAATACTTTTCCATTTTTACTCACCAGTTTTGACAGATTCATATCTCTCAGTACCCTCATGACAATTGTTGATTCGCTGTCTTCCGGCCGTGCTCTCTTCTGAGCTCCCAAAGTCCTCAAGACAGAAAGAATGTTTCTCAAGCCAAAGTCATAATGAACCTGTTGGTAATTAATTTAACAATCAATAAAATTATTGATTGAACTGTTCTCTAAATGAAGATCTTTAGTGGAGATTTTCAATCAAAAAAACCTTCACCAGCAAAGAACAGAAAACACAGAAAATTTACAACATAGAAGGAGCCCATTGCATCTGTACTGGTTGGAAAATAACTCTCAATTTGTTACAGCACTTCTAGCCCATGTCCATTTAAATGCCATGAGATTTCTGTCTTTTTCAATACATTCAGGTAACAGGTTCTGGACCCCACCAACTTCCTGAGATTTTCCTCCATGATATTCATTGTACCATTAACTATAAATCTACATATTCAATCTATTGTGATTAATGGCTTCTCTGATGAGGGGTATAGTCCTTTCCAAATTGAATATGTCTTAGCCTTTAAGGATTTTGTACACTCATTTCATCTTTCTTTAGCCTCTTCTTCCATGTTCCATAAAGAAAATAACCCCAGTCTATCCAATTCTTCTTATAACTAAAAACCTTCATCCCTAGCAACAGCCTTGTAAATCTCTTCTGTACACTAGTGTTTTTGAGCACCCTTCAGATAGAAGATCACCATGCTCATCGTCTGTAGTTTCTACTAAGGTTATGATGGGTAAGTAGGTGGTAGCTACATCAATCTGCAACCAAAAGCTTTTGATGTAAATAAGATGTCATGGGCAATGGGCCTGGTGGCCAGGCACGAGTCCCTTTCGCCATGCTGCTGCCGCTGGAATGAAAGTAGCCATTCTTTGGCACCATCTCACCTCTGTTGACAAAACTGGTGTCATCTTGGTTATACACTTGATTACAAAAGCAGAATTTTAAAAAAGCAGAAATAAAGGAAACAAAGCCAAAAGGAATGAGAAACGTCCAGATATTGAAGTCTTATTTAAGTCTTATCTCAATGCAGGCCAGGCCAAGCCACAGCCTGGAGTCTCGGGACGAGCTGAGTGCTTGCTGCTGTGGACGCTACCACCTCCAATCTCCTCCTGATGCCACTTCCGATTCTATAACTACCTGTGCAGCAACCAGATCCTGGAACATGCTCATTCAGGGCCTGCTCGCAGCCTCTGATCGCTGGATCCTGTAACATGCTCGGGCAGGGCCCATCACCAATGCCTTGCCTTTGCAATAGACTTTAAACAAATGGGCAAGAAAAAAAAACAACAAAAAGAAAGAAAAAGAAAAAAAGAGCATATGGAAGCAAACGTGCTTAGGAGATTGAATACAGTGCTGCTACTCCGCTGCTATTTTGGAGTTCATTGAACTTGCCTTCACTATATTTCCATGCAGAACATTCCATAAACCATACTCACTGCGTGAAAAAGGTTTTTCTCACATCGCCTTTGCTTTGTTTGCACCTCACTTTAAATCTATGCTGTTTTGTTCCTTTTGCAAGAAAGAACAGCTTCTCTCTAAACTATCCACTATCTATCATGATTTTGAAAACCTCTAACAAATTTCCTTTCAGCCTTTTTATCCACAAAGAGACCAGTCCCAACTTCTTCAATCTATCCTCACAACTGGATTTTCTCATTTCTGGAACTGTTCTTATAAATTGTTTCTGAACTTCTTCTAATGTGTTCACACCTTTTGTATAATTTGGCACCTACAACTGGACACAAAACTCCAGTTGAGGTCTACTAGGTGTCTTATACAAGTTCAACATCACCTCCTTGAACTTGTACTCTATGCTATTATTAATAAAACACCCTGTATACTTTATTAACTGCTCTCTCCACCTGTCCTGCCACTTTCAATGGTGATCAGAGTGGAGAGATGAGAAGAAGCTTGATTTAGAGAGAGGGCTGGATTCAGTAATCTGTAATATATAGATGTAAATAAAAAAGGGTTACCGCATTGACAAGTGTGAGACTGCATTACACTGGGATATGCATAAATGAAGGATTTTAGAGACCAAGAAGTGTGATCATCTAGTTAATGTCAGCAATCTCTCAGCGTGTATGTGTAGACATCCACAGCCCAGACATATTCAGGAGATGTATCTAAGAATGCTAACAATAAAGTTCACATTAAGCATAGCATAAAGCATGGTGGAGGATGGCAGTGAGGGAAACTTCAAGAGTCAGGATTTGAAGTCAGATCACAGTTTATGAAGTGCAGGAGAAAAGCAGGAGGACTTCACAGGCCAGGACAGAATCTCAGAAAACTTTGAACATAAGGCAACAAAGCAAGAAAGCTCTGAAAGGGTAGGAAAGAACTTAAGAACATTTTGAAGGACTTGAAGGAAAAGAGGGAAAAACCCAAATCGACTTACCCAGGTCAGTGTGATGTAGCAATCGGTTCAAATGGCAGCTCCAGCCGAAACAGTACCATTATCACAACCATGGAAAATTTGGAGGGCCCATAATTTGACCAGAAAGTGAAACTCTGGAAGCAGCAGTTTCAGTGCTACAGAATTGCACCAGACTTGCATGCAACCACACTGAAGGAAATAAATATGATCTAACGGCATTATGAAGGGGTGGTTGTATAAGTTTGATAAGGACTGTGTCCTGATATTAAGGGATATCTGACATTCCAGGGGAATGAATCAGAGGATGAGGTATTCAGCCTTCCAACAGACACAACAGGGAGTGAGGTTGTTAATAAAGAGATGCGGTCAATGGAGCGTAATTGTGGACACAGGGATGGTTTGAAGTGTGTATATTTCAATGCTAGAAGTATCAGAAATAAGGCAGATGAACTTAGAGCATGGGTCAGTACTTGGAACTACGATGTTGTGGCCAAAACAGAAACTTGGGTAACTCAGGGACAGGAATGGTTGTTGGAAGTTCTGGGATTTAGATGCTTTAAAAGAAATAGGGAGAGTGGTAAAAGAGGCGGGGAGTGGCATTTTTAGTCAGGGCTAATATAGCAGCTACTGAAAGGCAGTTTGAGAATGATATGTCTACAGAGTCGGTTTGGGTTGAGGTCAGGATCAAGAAAGGAGCAGTTACTTTGTTGGGGTTTTTTTACAGACCCCCGAATACTTGCAGAGAAGTGGAGGAGCAGATTGGGAGGCAGATACTGGAAAGGTGCAGAAGTCACAGGGTTGTAGTCATGGGTGACTTCAACTTGCCAAATATTGATTGGAAACTTTTAGTTGTAATAGTTTAGGTGGAGCGGATTTTGTCCTGTGCATTCAGGAAGGATTCCTGACATAGTATCAAGATAGACCAACACGAGGAGAGGCCACTTTGGATTTCGTCCTTGGCAATGAACCGGGCCAAGTGTTAGACCTTCCGGTAGGAGAGCATTTTGGCTGTAGCGATCATAACTCTTTACTTTTACAATAGTCAGGGAAAAGGATAGGCACATACAGCAGGGTAAGGTTTATAATTGGGGGAAGGGTAATTATAATTCTGTTAGGCAAGAACTGGGTAACATAAAATGGGAACAGATGCTATCTGGGAAGAGCACTATTGAAATGTGGAGATTGTTTAAGGAATGCATACTGTGTGTGCTCGATATGTTTGTCCCTAGCAGGCAGGGAAGATAGGGTCGAGTGAGGGAGCCTTGGTTGGAATCATAGAATTCCTACAGTGTGGAAACAGGCCCTTCGGCTCAACAAGTCCACACCGCCCCTCAGAGCATCCCACCCAGACACATTCCCCTATAACCCACCTAATCTACACATCCCTGAACACTATGGGCAATTTAGCATGGCCAATCCACCTAGGCTGCACATCTTTGGACTGTGCGAGGAAACCGGAGCACCTGGAGGAAACCCACGCAGACACGGGGAGAACGTGCAAACTCCACACAGACAGTCACCCAAGTCTGGAATTGAACCTGGGTCCCTGGTGCTGTGAGGCAACAGTGCTAACCACTGAGCCACTGTGCCGCCCCTCAAGAGAGGTCTCAAGAGATGTCGAATGACTGGTTAAGAGGAAGAAGGTTGCTTATATATGGTTTAGGAAATACGGATTGAAAAAGGCTCTATTGGGATACAAGTTATCCAGGAAGGAGCTGAAGAAAGGGCTTAGGAGAGCTAAAAGGGGGCATGAGAAAACCTTGGCAGATAGGATCAAGGAAAACTCCAAGGCTTTTTACACGTACGTGAGGAATAAGAGAATGACCAGAGAAAGGGTAGGGCCGATCAAGGATTGTAAAGGGAATTTGTGCACGGAGCCTAAAGAGATAGGAGAGGTCCTTAATGAATACTTTTCTTCAGTATTCACAACTGAGAGGGACCTAGTTGTAGAGGAGGACAGTGTGAAACAGGCTGGTAGACTGGAGGAGGTCGATGTTAGTAAGGAAGATGAACTAGAAATTTTAAGGAACTTGAAGATAGATAAGTCCCCCGGGCCTGATGGGATTTATCCAAGGATTCTATGGGAAGCAAGGGAAGAGATCGCAGGGCCTTTGGTGATGATCTTTTTGTCCTCAGTGTCCATGGGTATAGTGCCGGAAGATTGGAAAGAGGCAAATGTCATTCCCTTGCTCAAAAAAGGGAATAGGGATAACGCCGGAAATTACAGGCCAGTTAGTCTTACATCAGTGGTGGGCAAATTATTGGAAAGGGGTCTGAGAGATAGGATTTATGATCACTTGGATAGGCACAGTTTGATTCATGATAGCATGGATTTGTGAGGGGTAGATCATGCCTCACGAACGTTATTGAATTCTTTGAAGGGGTGACCAAACACGTGGATGAAGGTAGAGCAGTGCATGTGGTATACATGGATTTAAGTAAGGTGTTTGATGAGGTAAGCTCATGCAGAAAGTAAGGAGACATGGGATAGGGGGAAATGTGGCAGATTGGATTCAGAATTGGCTGACCCTTAGAAGACAAAGGGCGATAGTGGATGGAAAATATTCAACATGGTGCTCAGTTACGAGTGATGTAACACAAGGATCTGTTCTGGGTCCTCTTCTATTTGTGATTTTTGTAAATGATTTGGATGTAGGAGTGGAAGGGTGGATTAGCAAGTTCGCGGACGATACGAAGATGGGTCGAGTTGTGGATAGTGCGGATGGCTGTTCTAGGTTA